CTTTTTTGTACATTATTTTGGTACGTCTCGTAAGGTTTAGCCAGCGTTTGCAATGTAAGCGCACAAAAACATGTTTTTACGACAAATCTTTGAAATTCTCGGATTTTCTCTACTATAATATGCATGTATTATACATATAAACCTTTCTCTTGAATTACTCTCTCTATTGGTGAAAACCGCATTAAAATCCGTTGCTTAGTTTAAAAGATCTAAGCGTGCAACACAAAAAAGTGACTTTATTTTATACTATGTAATGAAGATCTACTCGATCGTCACGGTGATTGGCCCGCACTGAAATCTTCACCAATCGCAACGCCGAAGCGCTAGCCGTCGAGAGAGAGTTGATGTGAAATAAACTCACACTAGGCCCTCAGGACCACCTGCCCCGAACGAGTGGTACGAATAATCGCCCGTTACCACTCGCTTATAGCCCAGGGATAAAGCTATCCGAAGTACATACTCGCTTCTCGCTGCTGTCAACTCTTTTCTAATTTCTACACGCTTCTCGCCCATCATTGCCGGTGGGACAAGTACCTTAGGCTAGAAGGCAGCATTAAAGAATTTTGTTATATTTAATATTCATATGTATAAAAAAAAGGGTGACGCAGTGATACGGATTCATCATATACCAGCAAATTTACTATTCCTATATTTGTGACACTGTTAACAAAATGAGTAGACTTAAAACTGTTTTAATTCTACCCATATTCACATAAATAATAATTTAATCAACAATGCTGAAATATGTTTGATGAGAACACTAAGGTTACTTATGTATTGACGGGCTTGTAGGTCAAGTGATTAGTGGCCCTGACTGCTAAGCCAAAGGTTGTGGGTTTGATTCCCATCCTGGACAAATATTGTGTGATGTGAGTGTGCAGTCATTTGTTCTGTGTCTGGGTGTAATTTATCTATAATATGTATGTATTTAAAAATATTTAAGTATGTTTATCAGCAGTCTGGTTACCATAGCACCAACTCTGCCTAGTTTGGAATCGGAGGGCCATGTGTGAGATGTGTGAAATTATTATTGTTACTATGTTTTATCAATTAACCCAATTATTATACATTTGTGATTTTACGGCATTAATAAAATTGTATGTGAAGAAATAGTTTCTTTGGTAAATTTATAGTTTGTCATGTTCAAATTTTACTATATTGATTTTGTGTGTGCTATACAGCTGTTTAAGCTGTATTCACAAAGTGTAAGTTATGACTAAAAAACATCACATCAGGTTACACATATTGAAAGAGAGTAAGGTAATTTTGGGGCTACATAATCAACTGTAACACTGAGGGGCAGAAAACGCAACTGTAAGCAGGTGGAAAATCAGGTTAAATGGATATGGGACAGAATTTACTTATTTACCTACCCTACAGCTGGGTTACAGAGGGCTGTGTGCATTCAACAATGTAGGCCGACGGGTATTCCCCACCTGTATTTGTTAACTAGTGTGGAGGTCATAGGTTGGAAAATTGTTAAATGTCCAATGAACTGTTGAATTGATTCAAATGAGGGTAAGTTCAAAAGAAATTATGGTAAACTAGTGTACACAAAAAATATATAAACTTTATTTTGTAATTGTAAGAATGTTGTTTATATTGCTTTGTTTAGCTTTTATTAGACAACTCATGATATCCTGATATATTTAAATATACAAAAAATGTTGTAAATTTAGTATGGAATGTAACAATTCAGACAATTCAATTTTATAAATCATCGTAATTGCATTATTTTCGATTAACCAATAGCATTGTGATTTAATTTGATTAATTATCATATGTTCATTTTGATACAAGAAAAAGAAAATAGTAAGCTGTCTACAGTCCCTGTATTTTTTGGCACAGTTTGTTAAGTAGTTAATTAGTATTGATGTTACACATTGAGTTTTAATTAGAAATAATAAACTTTATTAACTTAATTTATGAATGGACAGTGTGTACTAGGATATACCTACCTCAGAGATTCATAATGTTGACAAACACAAATGTAGGTACCATGTGGGTAGCTGTTATTTCAATATTTTTCTAAATAAGGACATGTTTACATGACATTCAGGATCAATAAATTACTTCAACTGTGACTTTCCAACTGCCCCAAACGTTTTCCAGGAACAGTGGGCCAAAATTATATGCAATGCATATATTTGATACTAATAAGGATCCTACAGAATAACTTAATCATAATACTTACATTTATTTTTGGCATTCTCATCCATGAGCATGTTGAAATGGTGGTGACGGTTCCACGCAGCCATCTTGCCTTCGTGAGGAGCCCCGAGAAGCACCAGGGCCGCCCCGGCGGGCCCAACTCCGTCTAGGGGCTCCAGTGTCCTCAGCACACTACAACTTTGTCACACACTCATAACCCGAAGAACATAATTATCACACACTCGCGCTCAAAACGCCGTCGGCCCGGACGGCGGTGTCATCGGCGCCGACGCGCGGCGCACATGCCTTGCACTTCCGCTCCACGCACTTATGCACACGCGGGTAAACAAGCACGGTCAAAACGGCACCGAGCGGTGATTCACCTCTAACGCCCGTCTCGCGCTCCGCACTGCAGGCGGACTGTAGCGGCGATCGAGAGCCGCAACCGACTGACACCCAAACACTTGTCTCGTGTCACGTGTGCGCTAAATGCAACGCACCGAGATATACCACTACACCCGCACAAATAAATTCACATCCGATTGCAAATCACCGTCCGATATTACCGACAAATTAATGAATTTCACAAAATGCCACGGGAGCGAGCAAGACGCGCGACGCGGCTTCCCTTCGCCGATCCGATCCTCACTGCTCCGAATGGAACTCGCGAACAAAATAATAACAAATGTGCATGAGATGCTCGCTATAATAAGTGCACGTGGGTTGCGTCAGAGGACTGACCAAATATTATGAAAACACATCTACCGATCAGAATGTTTCAAAAAATACAACGGAATTCCTGGGAACACAGACAGTTGACGACCAGCTTACGAATATATTTTTTTATGAAATACGAACTTCACTGTCGCACTGGCAAGTAATCGAGCGTTAGAGTGATCGAAAGTTTGAGCATTCTAATTATATTACAATCAATTACATTATTTGTAAACAAAACACGGCCCGTATTACATTCAGAAAATAACAGTTTCGAGCTATAAACGCGAACGCGTAGATCAAGCGCGACAAATAGGACAAAACATGGCAGACTCGAAAAGCACACGAATTTTGTCTGTGGTTGTTTTTTTTTTAATGCTATGGTTTCTAGAGAGGCTTTTTAATTAATTCCTATTAAAAGTTTTGTTTTTATTACATCACGGTGCAATTATACATTGATTCAATTGCAACGTGTACTGACAATTAAAAAATGTTCTAAACCATGAATGACTGAAAGGGAAATTATATTTAATTATTTTCAGAAGTTCATCGTCATGGATCTAGTTTTGCGTGAAAAGAAACGAAAGATGCTTGTACCATAAAGAATAGAAACGGAACATTGCCAGACACATGAAAGCTAAATATTACCAGAAATTAATTAAACTACCCATTGTTTCAATCTTATCAGCGCACCTTGTTTAATATGTTTAGCTTTTTAGATAAACTATTTGTAATGTTGACTAATAGCTCTTGCTGGAACTTGCTGTACATTTCGCCTCATGACATTTTCGAAAGGTATTACGACAAAAACCCAATCGAAACAGGTCTGGTTTGGTGAATAAATTATTGTTGATGAATTTCTCAATAATTATAAACCTTACAATATTCTCGGTATCTACAATACGATCAACCCTTTTCGTAAAACTTTATAATATCAGTCATGACCTTTATAAACTCACTAAAATTTTTTTTTTATTAATAAAACAGTATATTATATATTGTAGTAAATATTTTTACAAAAAAGCTTCTATACACCCTGGATACAATGTAGTATTAGGTACGATACATATTTTTAACAACAAATGGCTATAATATTGCATTAAGTACATGAAATGTAAAAATAGTTGTATTGTGTCTTAAATAAAAAAAAAAAAAAAAATTACATCTAATAGTCATCTTCAACGCTAACTGAATCGGTAAAGTTATTTATGAAATTATAGTCAAATCCCTTATCGAGATATTCTAACACAGAATTTATTACAAATATATTATTATCGCAGATCACTCATTAAAGAAATTAGTTCAATTTGCTTTCCGTAATATTACCAGGGTTTTAATTTCGCTATTTTTATTGATTTCTTACTTTATTATATCTTCAGCTATTATATCATATAATCTCAAGAGTTATAAGTGTGTTTCCGCCGTTTTAGTCCCTCAGGGTGGTAACAATACACACAGTATGACACCTCTCTACAGTAACCACTTTCGAATTAATACTGTAAAGACTTTAGTTACTATTACTTCGCAGTCAATATCAGGTTATTTTGCGTCCAAATAAGGTGTCCAGATGTCGTAATAAAAGCTATTGCAAAATCCCTCGTATCTAATGGGCATTATATCTCACCGTATTCGGTTAGATTTCCAAACATCGCCAACAAAAACGTCTGTGACAAAAAAAAATGGTTTAAAAAAGTTCTCATTTTTAAGTACAAGGAAGTTGATACCTCCATAATCCATTATTAATTTTTATTGGACTATATTTCTTGGTCAAAAACAATTCTACAATGTTCATGTTGAGCAAGAAATTACGACCTACGAAGTACAGCTTAATATGGCAACACTCGATATTGGACATCACTTTCTTTTTCCTTGCGTGTGAGGGAGTATCGCGTGTTACTATTCTATTTCTACATTGTAAATTAACCACCATAATATTATCAAACAAAATATTTATCAGAAAGGAAAAAGTTTCCCGTGAAGTTATCATTTATACTTAATTATAGAGCTTTGACCTGAAGCTCACGTTGTTCGTACATTTGGTCACGGAACGCGTCATCGCTTTGTGCGTAATTTCCACTTAGCTAGCAAAGTTGAATTTATCCTCAACACATTGTGACTCAAGCTACCCATTCAAAATGCCTAAAAACGGGAGCAGAATTAGAAACTTTAAGAACAGCGAGCATTTTGGTGAGTGATTTCGATGTCAAATGTTCTGCGTATTTGGTCTTTCAGCTGCATACTAGCATTTTATTTGTAGTGTGTACATAAATGCAGTGTCCATAACCATGTCCTTATTTTTTGTGTAATTAGAACTTAATTGAAAGACTTGTTGTCTTATGTAACTAACGTAAACGACATTTAGCGTTACAACATTTATTCCAGAACATGATGATCGGACGCATAGCGGTAACACAAGGCGTGTTAGTTTTAAACCAGGCACCCACAAAGGGAAAAAGTGGAACAAGCCTATGATGTTACTTGATGATGCTGATATTGATATGACTGGGTCTGTAGGACCCCACATGCGCCATAAGGGATCTTTTAGAGGACGTGGTGGCAGGTTAATTTCTCCTGCCCCCATGTCAGGTCGTGGGCCTATGAGGAAGAGGTTAAACCCTGGATCGCTACCTTGGTATCAGATTATTATACCATATGGGGCAAAACATCCCAAAGATGTTATTTTACGATCACTTCTCAGCTTTGTATCACCTGATGTTTTTATACCGCACTATTACAAAACTAATGGCAATGCAGCAGTTTTTTATGTGGATGAGTTCAAACTGGCTGAGAAATTACTTCATGCAGACAGAAAAATAGTTATGTCTGATGGATTCAAACTGATGATAATTGTGAGAAATGCAGTCCCAAATGTTGTTGTTGATGCGGATATGAAAGAGAAGATGAAGCTTACCATGGCTAAAAGATACAATCCAGCAACAAAGGCGTTAGACTTAACCAAATTTCATGCAGATCCAGGTAAGGATGAATAAAATTACTTATCATCATTGATTTAATTCACATGTAACCTGTGGATTACACCTACAAGCCTACAGCTGCAAAGCTGATTGTCTTTAGAAGTTGAAGTTTTAGTTTTCTTTAGTAGAAAACAAATAAATTGTTCTTTTGTAGTATTTAAATTTGGCCAATTGACCAATTTGGATTTCATCATTTACATCATACTCAGTGATTCATGGCTATGAGTTAATATTATGGATTAGATTATTTATATTTTTACTATCTTTTTTGTTCATTAATTTAGTAGATTATTATGTAACCATATTTTACAATTTGATTACCACCACATTATCTAGATGTAAATCCTGTTTGTTTCTTTCTTTTAAATGTAGTCCAATTATGTTAGGAATATAAAAAAAATATACTTACAAAATAAATTTATCATCATTGTAATTGACTTGGTATCCCATATTTCTATAATAATAAATTATTTATATGTACGAATGTAATGTATAAAAATCAGTAGTAATGTGTTCATTCTGTTACAAGAAAGTACTGTTATCTCTGTAGTAGTAATAGAATAGAAGCATAAAGGCAACACATGAAGCACCATTCAAGCTTAGGAATATCACTAGACCATAACCTCTATTACTGAATCTTATTCTGCAAGTTTAATAGAAGCAAGTGATAACCCACTTGCTTCTCTTAAAGGGAAGGGAAAGAACAATGATCAACTCTATTCTTCTGTTACAGATTTAACAGAAATATTCTGTGCTCTATTTCGTCCCGTCATTATGTTGGCAGCCATTGATATCATAGCTGAAAATATCCCAGATCTTGAGGCATTGAACCTCAATGATAACAAGCTGCATGGTATTGACCATCTCAAGGCACTGCCCAATAAATTGAAAAATTTGAAGATTTTGTATTTAGGTGACAATAGGGTAAGTGTCTTTACAAACAATACAACTATTTTATGCTACCCTAACCATACAGATATTTAGTAATAAGATTATAAATTGATGTCCTGCATTGCATTAATGTTAATGTAATTAATTTGTCATCTGATTTAACTAAGAAACTAGAAATTTTTTAAATTACAAAAAGGCTTTATGTTTTGACTTGAAGATTATTCATAACAAAAATTTGAATGGGAATTTTTAATTAGCAAAAAAAGCTATGCTCAATGTGAGTTATGAAAGTCTTTATAAAAGTGTTTTTAAACACAAAGTAAAGTTGTAAGAACACCCCATTACTCTGGGGCACTAATGAAATTGATTACATATTGATGCAATTATAGTATGAGCTAGTGATTTTTAAATACTTAATTCTCTATTTTAGATTCCATTCCTTGGTTCGCTGGACTCAATGAAGAGCCTTCCATTAGTGGAGCTTTACCTCAAAGGCAATCCATTGGTCAACAGGTTTCAGGACCACGAGATTTATATCAGGTAGTATATGTAGTAATGTATAATTATTGACTGAAAGTTTGTGACATTTAACTGTACCCTGAGAGCAGCCCACGGTACATGGAAATGAATAATGAGAGTCAAAGACAGATTAGGCTCATGATGATAATTTCTGCCAAAATTTTATAAACAGAAAATACTGTACTATATAATCATTTCTGAAGATATATTATATTATTGTGACATGAGACAAATGTTAATATTTATTTTAATATATTATGGTGATAGTATGGGTGATAATTCTTGACCACATTACACGACACTTCTATGATTGTTACTGTGTAGTTTCAGAAAACTCGATTGCATGTGAATAAAAGATTTAATGATTTAAGTTTATTGGCGCCCTATGATATTCTTCTGAGCTTTTTTTGTTATATGAGCTTAATAAGTAATTAGTTTACTCATAAGAAATGAAACATTACCATCACATTTCTTTTTAAATTATATTTTTTATTTAAAATGTTACAAACAACCTGTATATATTATCATAACCAACATGTTGGTTATATTAAAAATGTTCATGCATTATATATATATATATATATATATATATGTATATTAAGTTTATAGTTATACACATGTATTCAGTTTTGAGAACTTAAAATATCAACTTTAAAGTTATCCTCTATGTAATAACATCACTGTTATGTAAAAAGTTATGTTAAATGTGTAGTTCAAATAAATCGTGTATATGTTCTGGGCTTTGAATTTAAGATTTTGGCAACATAATGATAACATTACTAAGCAAATGTATAATGCAGACTAAATGTTTGCCTGCAATGTTTGATTTGTGAGCTTTACTGGAATATTCTAAAGATGAAATTGAGATACTAAATGTATTTTAGCTATTTGTACAAATAGGAGCAAAAATTTAAGGTTTTTAGTAGGAATATTTTCAATATTCTATTTGCTCAATTGCACTTTCTTCTATATAAAGAAAAAATGAGTTTGCTCCTATTTAATTTATGAGTTTTCAGAATCCACTATTGCTGTTGTCTGTTCATGGATTCTTCTAGTTCAAGGACATCACATCCTCTGACTGGGAAAATCCAAGTGTTGATTTAAAGACTAAAATCTGCATATATTATATATTGCATGTATCATATTTCTGTGACAATGATATTCTACTAAATTAGTATGCAAGCTGAACGAGGACCCATCTCAGAGACATAATCTGACATAGACAGAACTTAATTTCTGCATGAAGACCGCATTGGACCAGGGTTTCATCTTAACCAAGCTCCGAATTTTAAAATCGTTTGACAAGCCCATAAGAGTACTAGTATTGATACTAAATAACAAAGTTACTATTTTCACACATAGCCTAAAATGTTCTTTTATTCAAAGATAGGGATCATTCATGATTTACGTGGGTCACATGGACACATAATTTTTATTACTTTTTAATCTCACTTCTGTATCCACCTCATGACTACATTGGTCATATTTGAGGGATCCCTTTTTACTGGTGTCATGCATTTTGCAACTTGAAAGAACTTAATAGTTAAAAATGTCAGTTCCCAACATACTTTTTGAAAATTTAAAGTAAAGTAGTTTATGTAGTTTTTCGTTTACAAGTAATACTTTGTTTTTACATGTAGGAGTCATCACAAATCTTGTGACCTGCCCCTTGTCACACGATATCAAACTCCGATGACGCTCCCCCCACTTCTGACTTTACTCTTTGAATGTGTTCTAAGCTACATATATTTTACATATAAATGTTAGTAAATTGAAAGTTACTAACTACAAATCTATATCCATACAAAACCCCATTCCAAATTGGTCTCTGGCAACCGCTGAGTCTTGCAGTGTTATGACTATATGGCATCTGATTTTTCAGTATTATCAACATCAGAAACCTACAATATAAATGTATGTTTTTTCAACATTTAAATCGAAATAACCAGACTATTATCTATAAAAGAGCTGTTTCATAATTATTTAACTGATTTTTTTTTTTTTTTTAATTGTATAATGATATAATGTACTTACTTGGTCACATCAACAAGCTGTCATGATTTGATAACATATTGGGACATTCTTTAATATTTTCTTGATGACATAATTTCATTTGTATAAGCTATTCATTGTTGTTCAATGCAGGAAACAGCTTCAAACATAATTTCACTTGCTAGGTATATGGTGTTTGAAATAACAGAAATGTACAATGTTTCTTACATTTTTGTGATTTCCTTTGTGAAATTAGCAAACATATAAATCAAAAGCCCTCTTTATTATAATTAACGTCTAGAGATAGTCCTCCAATTGAAGCTGGTTCCAGTTTGCCAGCAATGACACCAGGTTTTGATATTGATTGTTCATGTGGCTGAGTTTGATAACAGTTGATTAATATATGGTCTATAATGCTGTTGCATTTTTTGTATACATTATAATCACTATACAGTAAACTATTTAAGGCTTTACGGGATTCCGCATTTAAAGAGTTATAATAATAATGAAATAGCTCTTAAACCAACTTTATAGTTATTCCAAAGATATTGCCATAATGTGTAACTACTTTTATGAAATTTGATGTCATTCTAAAAAGTTGGAGGGTTGAGTATAAGGTTGGTTGGTATGTTGTTTACATTGTGACCTAAAATCACAGGTTCTCTTCATAGTAGTCCTACTAGGAAGAAAACCTTTGAGTGGTAGTACCCCCTTGTACTTATATCACTTCACAGTTTACTGTTTATCATAACATATCAAAAGGGAGTGTAATACCAAAAGGTACACATATTAACCTCGAGTATACAATAAGAAGTATATGTATATGATAATATTTCTTATTGCATATTCATACTGAAACTAACCATTTAAATGAGTTTCAGAGATGACTGTCTTTTACATGTGTTGCCATATTATTTGTTGTCTCCAGCGATGTGCGGAAGAAGTTTCCTAAGCTGGTCAAATTGGTAAGTTCTATTTTTAAATATATATTATTTTATTACTTTTTATGATATGTATGGTTTGTTCATAGACACTGTTTGCATCCTGCTGCTCCAGTGGCACTGATTGCTAGATTCCAAGAACGGATCACCAGACTGTGTTTTTCATAATATTTACTCAAGTTAGACATTATTAGCATATAAGTCAGGGGTGTAGTCGTCTTAAATAGCTAATTTCCCTCTAAATTTGAAATTAACTTCTTGACACATTTTCAATTTTAACACACTTCAACACATCCGGACTTAAATATTTAAAAAAATATAAAAATTAAAAAATATTAAATACCAGCGGCTCGTTCCAAAGATTAGAAAAACGCGGATGATCAGTTTTTTTAAATTATTGCTTAGGCCACTCTTGATAATTTCATCTTGAAGAAGTAAAATAAAACTGTCCTCAGTCACACACATAGATATAGAGAAACACACGTTGTCATAACACCTCCCTTTTTTGTTTCTTTTTCATTATTATTAACTGAGATTACTAGATTACTACTAGTCCTTAGGTGTACAACGGCTAATCGTCTGAAAAAGCATATCTGTGAGTTACGTTTATAATTTGTCACCCATAGTGCAACACATATTTATTATTTTCACAGATATTCGCTTTGAGCTTTGATATAGGTACATTAAAAACATGGACATGTGAAACCTCATATTAATTCATACTGCTATGGTAATTTTCACATGATAAATTATTATAAACGGGATATTTGCCATATTTATTTTCGAGAATCAGTTGCCGATATTTCGGCACTGTTGCAAGCGCGATGATGATTTTGTTGTTGACCACGGATGAACAGAAGGACACTTCTCGTAATAAAAATTGTCCCTCTGTTCCAGATCATAATTCCCGAAAATATACATGGTAAATATCTCATTTCTACTAACTTATCATATGAGACCATATATTTCATGTAGACTTTTGTTGTTTAGTTCAAAACCAACATTTGAATCATATCATTCAGGATGGAGTGGAGCTGCCCCCGGCCATCGGTTTCGACGTCCAAGATAATTGTGCCCTCCCACCACGTCAACAATCATTCCTCGTAGATCCAGCCGGCCAAAACTTAGTTCGTGAATTCCTTACTCAGTACTATGCTATCTATGATGGAGAATCCCGCCAGCAATTACTTGAGGCTTACCACGAACATGCCACAATGTCTTTGGCCGCTAATTACTTGACAAATGATAGCCGGAATTCTCCTACACTAAGGTAAGTTTTATTACAATACGTATTTTTGTGTAGGCACTGACTATAATAAATCCTTCATTATCGACCACCTCTAACAGGCCACTGCTGGACATAGAAGCCTCACCTTAGAAAGAAGGTTTTAGTCTACTGTGACACGCTGGTCAGACGGGTTGGTATACGGTTTTTTTTTTCAAGATTTCCTTCTCTTTGCAGTGCTGTTGTCTTGCGTTGTTTGCTCCCTTAGCCGGCTCTTAAGACACCCACGGGATGAATAGGAGTGGTGACACTCCGTATTCTTAATCCTTCACTACACGAATATAATTTTCCATCCTTATTCTAATATAATACCTTTACCTTAAATTTTAATCTTTTCCTTTTAAGGATTTTTTCTAAATATATTTTTTTCAGTGATATAACCCATTTTCATCTGTTATGTTATAGCTGTCAAGGAAGCTATCCAAATAAAACCTATTAAAATATTTTTCTTGAAACACCACCAGCAAATTAGTAATCATATTAGTAAAAAAATAATACTAGAAACTTCAATTGATTAAAAGGTTGTGTAAAACATTTCTTCATATGGATTCATAAATGTATATTTTTTATTGTTTTAGACTGAACTCTTACATCTCGAACAGTCGCAACATCATACGTATCACAGAACGTGAGTCGCGGCGCCGATACTTGCGGGCGGGCAAGCTTCAGGTGGTATCTTTCTTGTCGGACCTGCCGAAGACCACCCACGATCTTATGGGCTGCGCTGTTGATCTGTTGGTATTTACTGTAAGTTGAGTCATTTTGACACTGTTTACTTCATTAGGCTTGATTCACTTGTGAGATGTAGTGTAATACTATTTACTTTGAAATAATCTTTGCATTATTCCTTATTTATCACAGAAAATAGTGATTATGGCGAGTTATGGTTGTCAATAAAAAAGCAGAAACCTGTGTTCTATCATTATTTTTCTATGTCATTTGCATATCGTAAATAACACTGACATGCTCTGTCACTTTTACAAACACTTTTTTACTACAAAATGGTGTTTGACTTTCGATCTCAAAACTGTTATAAAAGGTATTATCGTAGTAAAATAGTAAAGTATTACTAAGACTAGCAGATTATCGATTCAATTTTTAGTTTCAATGCGACATAATCACATTACAGTCAATGTTGAATGTTTAATACTTTGCTACGAAAATACCTTTTATGAGAGTTGGGAGATCGAAAGATGATCGGAACTTAATTGAGACCGAACTTTTATTACGACAATTGGCCTTCAGTTATCTTATACTAAGCTTTATTAAATGTAATAAATAAAAATATTTTGACTTCCAATTTTATAATGCACACTTTTTTGTTTGCAGCCATCAATGATCGTTCTCACAATGAACGGTCTGTACAAAGAGACCACCACGAACGGCAATCCCATGCGTTCGTTCCATCGGACGTTTGTTATCGTACCGAACGCGGGTGGCGGTTTCTGTATCATCAATGACATGCTGTATGTCACCAACACTACTAAGGAACAGGTAAACATTCCCTTACATTCTTCTACTATCATTGAAGAAAGTTATTATAAAGTGAAAATTGTTTTTCCACTCTGACGGTTTATTTTACGGTTTATTTTTAGAATTAGTCACAGAATAATATCAATATAAAGGAAATTTAAACAAGTATAAGAAGAAATAATAGAATAGAAACAAAAAATACTCGAAATATTTTCACAGAAAATAAAAAAAACTAAATATGTAACATAAACTACCAATGTATGAAATATAAACTCGTTCATATCTGTTCGTGTCAATACTTTTCACAAGAAATAAGAATTCAGAATAATTCTAGTCATGCACTTTGAATCAACATAATATAAAAGCACGTTTTTAAATTAAGGGTGATGAAATGGGTGATCCAGTGGGATAGATAGTTAACATTATGAAACCTTGTTTTTTATAGAGTTTTTTCATTTGACGCAGGAGGAGAAGGCGTTCGCAGCAGCACTGCCGGTGGAGGCGGCACCCGCCCCCGCGTCCCCCGCCGCCCCCGCCCCCGCGCCCGCGCCGCAAGACGCCGAGGCGCAGAAGATGATGCTCGCCGCGCTCAGCCAGCAGACCGGCATGAACGAGCATTGGAGCATCAAGTCAGTACCTGCTCATACATGGCTTTACTTTATGACTATGACGCTTCAAATATTTACTATGAGTAGCTATTTAGGTTACTGTTTGAGGGGTACGAATACACACAGAACAGTCTAAACGAGCGAGAGTACTCGTCGGTTATATCGATACGTTTAAAAATCTTCCCCTCCAAACGTTCGACACCCGTCTGAATCGAGCATTATACACCGAGATACCGGTTCATTCAAATTTAATCTTGTTAATCTCGAATACCAGAATCCGGTAGAAATAGATTTCTGTACTAAATCTTATTTTGTCCCAAATTTTATCCCCTTTTATAATACCATTTATTTTATCTCCAATATTATTTATTAATTTAAGCTACTACAGAGATAAATTTCCATAAACTTCAAAAGCAATTGTTGTATTTTTAACTTCTGATCAATGGCGCAGTTTTAAATTTTCAGATGTCATTTTCTATGCTTAAAAACATAAACTATACGGATATAATAAAAACTATTAGGTGTTTAGTACCTAATTTCAAACGCGCAAATGAAAAAAATTATTTGTTTTACTTTATTTGCAGCTGCCTACAAGAAACAGGTTGGGATTTCCAGCGGGCGTTATTCGTCTTCAACCAACTAAATTCAGAAGGAAAAATCCCTCCAGACGCCTTCGTCAAGTGATTAATTTAAGTGCATAAATAGGCAGTGCCGCTTGTAAATATTAGAGTAATGAACAGAAACTGATATTTTTAGTAAAATTTGTGATCTTTGGTCGAAGATGATATGTAAATATATGGTTAAGTGGATTTCTTCGTTTAATGCTATGTTACTAAAAATAGTATCTAGCAAACAGAAGCATAATTATTAAAAAATAATGTGATTATAAATCAAAACCGGAATCAAAATCAGAAGTGTCAATGATTTCATTAAAAGTATACATTCTTCTGTGGACGAATGAAGCAACGGAAGATATTTTTGTTTCGACACCGGAATAATCAGAACGGATCAGAATTAATGAGGACACACACTGAGAAATGTGCGTGGTCTACTGTGCGACTCCATACTCAGTGAATATATCGCACAATTTACGCCATTTTGAAGATCTTGGAGACTGGTTATCCTGTAATAAATGCAACACAGCATTTATTATGCTTGGCAATCAATCAATCAACGTCAATGCCTCATCATGATTACTTCAGAAGAATTCGTCTGTCCTAATTAATATATTTTAGAAAAAAAAGTATCTTAAAAAAATATAGAAAAAGAATATGTTCCTAAAAAGATAGAATTATTTCGAATAAAATTGTTAGCAACGTTGTTAGGATGATACCTTTTGTTATCATCCTAACAACAATGTATATATATATATATAAATTTATATGTATTTATATATATATATATATATATATCTACCTTACATTTTAAATAAAGATTACAAATATTGTAATGACAATGATTATACGAATCTTTACTTAAAATATTTGTAGTTTTCAGAATAAGAATATTGTTGGATACTGAGAAAAAATGCTAATGGTAAGATATCTGTTTCATCTCATATATAATATTTGCATTTAAAATCTCAGTGGATGTATGTATATGTATTTTCAATCATTATGTAATGTATCTGCTTGTAGACATACAGTAAAAAAAAAACCTGTATGCCTGCATGCAATTGTAATAAGAATTTCAAGAGACTTCCTATTTTTTGTATTCACTGTTATTGCAACTTAAAAACATTAGAAAAAGAGAAAAAATTGACACTTGATACTTCGAAATAATTTTGTTATTGTACATAGTCTGGTAATTACTACATTTTCGTTTTGGGGAATTCTGGGCTGCAGTGGCGGTATAAGCTGAAAATTTCGCAGAAGTCGGCTGGTTATAATAGTGCCTGTGTACAGTGCTTGGTTTGTATGAAACCACATTGTCATGTTGCATGTAACGTCTGTCAAGTGACGGCGTAAATGACGAACTGTGGCGGAACCCCGCGGACGCAGGTCTGCAGTGGGCTAGCCACGGCGGATGTGACGTGAGGGTCACTTATGAGATTGTATGGCACTCTTTTACTTGGCTGCGTGTTTGTGAACGGCTGAAACCTCTAACTGTGGCCTTGGGCGGGGATTAGGAATTAAATTAAGAAATATTGTTAAGACTGTTACTAATAAAGTAAATAAATCTTTCTTTTTATTCATGTACCGTTTATTTTTTCTGCATCCTTTAAAACATGCCTTTTCAAAAGCATAGCGTTTGTTTAGGATTGGACCCTCTGCATACATCTTAAAACATTGCAATAGGTGTAACGCGCTTCTGAATAACTGGATCTAAACAGCATTGAGATGTTTCGTCCAAGTTCATCTCGTCATTCTTTATCGTGTAATCCGCCATATTAGTAAATTTACAAGATAAAGTTGTTACAGCTTGATGGCCTCTCTTAATATATTTTGGGAATGTAAACATCTTAGTACGTTAAATGAGAAGGATTTGATAGTAGGTACGTCAATCAGTATCTACGTAAGTGTTGCAGATGTTTATTTTAGATTAAAAGATAATACAACGTCGTGGTACATATGATACGCCACCTCAGTGTTAGTTAAAAAGTACCTAATTATGAGACGGTAAACAATATTGGTCTACTTTGTATCTTTTGCATACAAACTAGAAGATTGTCTTTCAGATGTCCCGAGGTACCTCATAAAGGTGAAACGAGAATTGACCCTCAGGAAGACTGGGAACGCAGTTCGATTTAGTTCAAGAACTTTAATTATTCTGCAGGATTGTCCCAGCAACGACTGGAGATGATTTGGGTAGTACGATTTAAGTAAAATACACTTAAAATACTTATTATAAATTAAAAAATGAATTCAATTAAGTCTATACATTGATCGATTTAGCCAGTTGTCATACCACTAGTCATTGTTTTGTGACATCCGTCGTCCGTATCAAGCTATATTTTAGGAAGTATAGTTATCAATAAAAACAATCCGGACAAGTGCGAGTCGAACTCGCCCACCGAGGGTTACGTACAAATTTGTAGGTACGCAGTGTTTTCCGAGCTTTTTCCAAAATGCAGTTTCAAAAACCTATATTGCTTATTGTGTTTTATAAATGACATTGTACCTCGACTGGAGGATAGATTACGTAGGTACTTTAAATAAACACTATTGATGTTTATTTAATTACAAATGTATAGTTTTCAGATTTGGACTTGTAGTATAATGAGATGTTATTTCCCAAATTTCATAGTTCTAGGTCAACGGCAAGTAAAATATTAATTTTGATACCCTTGAAAGTGTCGAAATATATACTTTTTTACGTTAACTTACACAATTATTTCGTTCCCGTAGTTGGAAAATTAAATAACTATGATTTTGTAGTTCTGAGATAAACGCGATTCAGTGGTTTTTTTTTCAGTTAATGTACATTTGTTAAAAAATTTGAGACAATTTTACTGTCGGTAATTTTATATTTTGTGGACCTGATTACCTTTTATATTAAGCTTTAATAAACTGAACTCTATCTTTAACGATAACAAAATAAAACAACTATTATTTATAACATAACTACAATTAGCTACTTATTTCGGCTATTTTTTTAGTTTTCCTACAAGCTAAATCCATTTGGTTGAGTAAAATTTGGTGAAATAAATGCAGTTATTGAATTTATCAAACTCGAAATATTTTTAAATGTAAAACTTAGTGGCTTTGTATTTTACATTATTTTGATATTTTTAACTATTATTGGTCTCATATAAAATAAAAGCTGTGTTATGATATTAATAAAATTATATTTAGGAAGAAATATAAAAGTACAATAAAATTTTAAAAAAAGATTATTGTAAACAGATATTTATCTTGCCACAAACTTAAAAAAATAAACAAAATTTTAGCAATTATAACAAGTGGAAACAAATTAACTTAAAGTATTCTTTCAAATCAAAACAGAAAATAATTTAAACCCAAAAAATAACAATATGGCTCTAAAATCGGAGACCTAATTACAAAAGACATACTAAAGTAGTAAGTAAAACTATGAAAAACTTAAAATAGGTATGTTATTTAATTTTTTTGCCATTTAACTTATTATTGACCACAGTTATTGATTTATTTACTGAGTTATTTATTTTTCCTTCAAAAAAATAGTGTTAGTCTTAAGATATTTATTATTTCATCTGTCCGACAAAAATGGCTATATTTTTGGAATGGAATAAGATACGAAAGTCCCTGTAAGGCTTAAATATGCGCCATGTTTTAGGTGTTTTGAAAATAGGGAAAAGTCAATATCACCAAAACTGGACTTATTTAATTTTCCAACTACGGGGACGATTTGCCCTGGGTGGGAATTGAACCATCAACCGAATTGACCGACCAAGTTATGGCCGTAGCTTATCAGTTAGAATCATTAACATCTACACTAACACGTCTACCTACTTAAAATGTAATATTTTGGAAAGAAAGTTGGTTATATATTAATGTTATGAACCCTTTTTTTTTTCCGTGCGGAAATCCCCTCGGATACCACCTGTCGGTGGCATGTCGGACTCGAACCGACTAAAACCGCACGCCGTCTCGGGTACTAATAGCCGGGGAACCAGGTATACCCTAGAAAGGAAGTCCCTGGTGCCCCGACAATTAAATGAACCCTAAATTTAGGTAAAAGCATTATTATTATTTTAATTTCACGTTTTTTGAAAATGTCTTCCCTCATCGCTTGAAGCAGTAGGTAACTCTTGATATCTAGTAATTTAAATACAATTAACATTAGATACCTATATAGTTTTCCATTCTGTGACTTTATAATAATGCTAGAAATGCGGCGTAACGTATTATGCTAATTTAATCAAATGTGTTATGTAACTTATGTTCATGACGTCTTTATAAAACAGGTTCCGATAAAATCTACATCATTAAAATGTATAAAATGAAAGACTATAAATATCAAATATTTATTTTTATAAATCATCTTATTTGCATAAAAAAATTGTTAACAGGTGTTTGATTTAAGAAATGAATTAGCTCCTAAAGCGTTTTTTAAAACATGTTTTTCATATGTAATAAAGTTAGTATACAGTTTCCACAGAACGGTGTGGCCGCATTTTAGCGTGGTATCCGTAAATAACGTAAACCATAACTGTAATTCTAAAAAATATTAATTTTCCATACATTAATCTCGTTTTCGAATTTGTGAGAATTGACCGATAAAGGAACGAGGGCTGAAATTAATTAAACTATATCTATTTAACACTTCAAATTTTCTAAAAAATAAAACATAATTATCGATAATTCTGAAAAAGTAATAATAATCTGAAAATAGAAATATTATGTTGTTTAGAAAGATGTATCTATTTTGCGAAGCAATTTTTAACGATTTTTTTTTAAACCTTTCAAAACCGTAAATGATACTTAAAATCTGTAAGTAGAAGCGATACAGGCAACGAGAGAGATGGATGCCCGATAGTTTCCTCTGTCTCTGTTTGGATAAGCTGCGATTAGCTACTTATTAACCCCTCATATAGCCCAGCCAACCACAGAGCTCGACTTGAAAGAGATAGAGGCATCTGTCTATTATCCATCTCTCTCGTTGCTAATAATGTAATATAATAAATTACGTTTACAAAAAGTCTCAGAACAATATGAGTAGACATAAGTTTGTGATAAATTCCATTCTCTGACATCGTTCAAAGG